CCACTATCTTTCGTCAGTGACTCACTACTGACGAAAGCTAGTGGATACTAGCTGAAACGTCTGACCGTTTCCAAAATCATATCCAGCTGCTTGAGTAACTGTTCAAATCTGACTGTAGCACAGCTGACAACACAGCCGTCACAGGCGGTAAACTAAACACTTGTCTTCTGACAAACCGGAGAAGCAGTCTGCGGTCCTTATTAGCACCTTGTCACGTTCGATTGGCTCCTTAACTTTCACTTTTACCAGGAACGGTATCTAAGATGATTGGACTTTCACCCTTAACATGATACAATGCAGTCTAGTTGTTCTGTTCTTCGCAGTACAAACTAGAGAAATGAACAGGACAAAGTGAGTGACGATACACGTACAAGACAATTACTTTAAAACTTTACAGACGCAAAGTAGTTGTGATGAAATGGATAAATAAGTAAGCAGTTGTTTAGTGTCCAAGTCCAACGGATAACATTATAAACAGGCCACGAAATATCTAAAAAAAAGATTAGTTGATGAATTGAATTTGCTTTTAGCTTTCTCCTAAAATTTTTCCTTTTCTTTTCTCCAGTTCTCTGGAGCGATAACACCCCGACCTGACAAGTGGTGATTATGGTGATTAATGACCGGTGATTATCTGACCGCGGATTGCGCATGCCTGGCTGGCCCTGAAACGGGGGATTGATGACGTAATTATACATCCGGGGACTTAATGACCCCCTGTCCAGGACGGACGTAACTTTTTTCTTGACAGGGTCAAAAGTTAAAACTGTCATTCAGGGCGAAACCATTATCATCGCGGGGGGGGGGTCAAGTTTCCGCTGAATATACTGAAGGACACGGTTTAAAGATAAAACTTAAGATCCAACACAAAAACGTTGTTTCAACTAGAGCTTTCGACTGGTCTTCTTCAATAGACTGACCCAGACTTGTTATGTGGCTGAGGTCACATTTCCAAACCGGGGCCCAGCCGGGTAGCTTGTGGAACGAAAAGTATGATATAAAAGACAACAAAGCAGAACAATGTTTTAGAAAATAAAAATGGGAACTATTTGGATATATTATTGATATAAATTGTTGATTTTTCGTTAATCGAAGTAGCCCGGCCGGGCCCCCGGTTTGGAAATGTGACCTAAGCTTTAGAGCAAACCATTATCTTTGCGGGGGGGGGGGATTTCCGCTGAATATCCATACAGGAAGGACACGGCTAAGTACACTGACCTTCCGTTGCTTCGGGCCACAACAATTTCATTTCTTGGTTCTCGTAATTTTGCAGGAAAATGCGGGTATGTGGGAGAAACAGACATTTAAGCA